AGCTAAAGCTAGAAACACACTGACCATCTATGAGCTAAGTTACTACTAGCCAACTAAATGTGCCCTGCTTGCTAACATTATTGCTAGCCAACAATCTGTCTGGAGCTAGCTGATATGCTCCATGATAGTAACTTGTGTATGATGTCTAACAGTACTGATGTTAGCCAAAATGAAAGGATGTTTAACCAACATTAGCATCTACAGCATTGACCACATTCAGTTCTGATAGCTGACAGTGATATACTGAGTCTATTCTGGAGCAGGAGTGAATACTTAGTGGCCCAGTAAGCACAGAGGGAGTGAACTGGTCAGAGTGGACATGTTTCAGTGAAACAAAGACTGAAATCACAGGTCACTGTTAGGCAGTGTAAGAACAACAGCTGACAAAAGAACCTGCTTATGTGCACATATCAGATTTTCTAAGTAGTTTTTAATCGATTCCTGTTGCTGCCCAGACTGACTCACAATCTACGGTCTGAAAATCACCCAACAGCACAGAAAAAGGAAGTATTGGAAGTAAACTTCCTGTTACTGATTATTTTGTTTAGGTACCTGAAGTTGTAAATGCACTGACATCTGCACAAAGTCACGTATCACACAGAGGATTACTGACTATATTCTGACCGTTAGGCTGCACGAGGGAGCAGAAACAGTCTGGTTTCCAAGTTCACTCGTTACAGCAGCGGTGGACACTTTCTGTCAGAGAGGCCGACTCGGACGCATCAAGCAAAGGGCTGGACACCAAATAACATGATTGAAAGAGGTGCTGAAATCCATGAATTGATAAATTCATTCAAACATAGAATTTGTACATATATATGTTCTAATTCATGAATAAGAATTAAACTCCACTTTCCTGTTCTGACCTGAGCGAGACAGCTGTAGCTCGTCACCTTATTTCCAACATCACTGGAACAAAGCTCAGCTCATATTTATCACTTATGAACTTATTCTGCACACACAGTGTTTATAATTAACTTAGGTGGGCTAATATATTACTGACTGCTAAGAACATTTTATAGTTTATTATTTTTAACTATTCCACACTTTTATTTTGAAAATTCAGAAACTGTTGAGCTACAAAAACCACTCCAGGTGTGAGCTGAAGCTCCACATTAGTCATCTTCAGCATGTTGGTGGACACATGGCGATGGGTCCAGGCCCAGCGGCTAACAGCAAAGAGGTGAGACGCTACCTGCTCTGCACTCGCGTCTGGGTCACAGACGGTTTTTGTGCTTTGACAGCATTGAGGATGTGAGTCGGTCTCACATGCCAAAGTTGAAGTGTGTCCCCCCCGGAGCAGGAAGAGCCTGTTTCATTCATCATGTTCAGTGCAGGCGCGTTAACACACTTACACACACATGCACGAGTCGATACAGCAAATGTGGGTTTCACATCTCGAAGCTTGTGGCTGATATTAGTCGATTCAGCTGCAAACAAACACGTTTGCCTGCATTAGTCACACAAACTGTTACCTACAGCATGAACTTGCACATGTACACTGTCCCAACAAACGCTTTATTGGTGTTAACTCACAACTGCTGGTCGCTGAAACACTTTTCTTTATTATGGAGTAAAGGAGACGAGGAGGTGGACAGAACGAAATGTGACACTGCTGAGTGCAACAAGGGCTTAAAGACAAACATGGCAACCTACAGTTGGACAAAGGCAGTTTAACAAACACGTAACTACCAAAATGTTCTTATCAACATGTAACCTGCATACATGATGGAGTCAACAACATCCAGGGACGAGCCTCTTATTTCATGCACGTGTGTCTTTAATAAGTGTGAACTGTGTGGAGGCTTCATGAAGAAGAACTGCAGTCCGACCAAAGGCTGCATGGAGCTGCATGTTTCATGTTAGCTGAAGTTTGACATCTGCACAGATGTGTACCTGTTACACAGCTGGAGTACCTGCCGGAGGTAGCGCGTCTTTAGTCCCACTAACCGATAGCACCAAGTGTGTTCTAAATCCAAATTCAAAGTTGGAATTTCCCAGTTTGATCTGGAATATTCCCTCACTTGGATTTCCAGCTCGGAGCAGCCTGATCAGTTCCATCTATGAATGTGCTGAAGTGATGCTGTGATACTGAGCTGTACTGCTAGCAGGGCCCACCTGAAGCTAGCTCACTTGCACCCAAAGGTGTATGAAACCTGATGGGTGTGTGCCCAATGTTACAGAAACATAATCCTTAATAAGGTGATGAGTGCTGGTGGTGGCTGCACAGAGAACGTGGGTGCGACGATATCTGACAGCTACAGTCAGGACGCCACGAAGACGCAGTCAGCAAACGTAGGACGATGGCTTGAGATCACCTGATGGACTCTTCCTGCACTTCCTGACTCCCATTAGCATGGTTATGTGTTGAGCAGGTCCAAAACCATAACGAGGGCGATTGTTGGTTTAATTCATGCCGTTTAAATTAAACCAGTGAATGTTAAACCATGTGAGGGACACGTGAGCCGCTGTCCGAGTGCATTTTGTGTAATCTCACACAGCCATTGGCTGCTGCCAACAGTGCTGTGCACTCAGTGTACTCGCCCACTTCTAAAAGTGCTCCTGAGTATCCAGAACAACAGAAAGAGTTTCTCCTCAGTTTGAAACAAGAACCGAGTTTGTTCCGGTCACAGAGGATGAAACTTGGGTGTGGACACAGCCAGGCTGGAGACGAGGTGATCCAACGTTTTCTAGCTGTGTAAAATCTACCAAACATACTGACACCATGGCTCCGGCTCCTGCATGGGCCCTCAGATCACACATCAACACATTTATCAGGAATCCGAGGCTATTGGTTATGGAGGCCAACAATCACAATCTTCTGCCCCTGATTTCCATCGTCTTTCGCTTGTCGTCTTCCTCTGACCGCTTCCTCGTTCTCATCCTCCTCATCCTCTTCCTGCACATCCTTTGCTCTTCCTGAGGCAGTGTGTTCACCCTCCTCTTCCTCCAGCGGCTCCAGCGGATTTATCAGTCCATACAGGAACGTGAAGAACCCGTTTAACCAATCAGAGCCGCCCTCCTCCACTTCTTCTAACCAATCCAGAACCTGGGATTCACCCTGACCATCGCCCTCACTGGACAGGCCTACGCAAATGAGGAGGGGCGGGGAGGATGGGAGGAAAGTTGAGGAGCAAAACGTGGGAGTGAAGGAGAGAAAGGAAGTGGTGACAAAACTAAGAAAAAGGAGAGTGTGAAACCAAATGAAGGAAAAAGATGTGCAGGAGGAAAGAGAGGAAACAACAGGAGAAGGTCAGAGAAGTTTGCAGGTTAGACAGCAAGGGAATCAGACTTTATCAGCAAAGCCAGGCTGTCTGCACATGACTGCAGAACAACACGTCATCTACTGGTTTAGACGTGCACTCTTTAAAGATCAGAAACTCGTGCTGCATGCTCATCATGTGCAGATAGCCCAGAGGAGGAGAGGGAGCACTGACGCTGGCTTTCTGTGGGAAAGCTTCTCTAATGAAACAGCTTCAGCTTTGGAACCAGAGTTGTCACAGTGCTGCATCTCCAACAGCAACACAATAACCTGAGACATGTCGACAACTACAGGAAGTAATGAGAGCACTGAGCAGAGGTCATGTGGAGGCAGATGGCCCAGGACCACACACGCCCCCACACATCTGTCCAAGTATGAACAAGGCCATAAAAGCTTGTTCAGGCATGAATACCACGTTTAAAATGTGTCGGGCTGTCCTCCTCGGCTTCTAATACTGTATACATGTGTACTAATGAGAGAGCCTGCACACAGCAGGGTGAGACCTGGGAAGCCTTTACCACAACCACCCTCATTTAGGGTTAGACAGCATGTAGCCACAAACAAAGGCAACCACAGTTTCAGACACCAGTCAAGTCTTACGTGCATTTGGTGTCCTGGTGTCAGATTTCTGCTTTGGTGCAAATGAACAGATCTACTGTGGATTTAATGTGATCCTTAGGATGAAGACCCGGGGTCAGGGTTCATGTGAAGTCCAATGATCACTGATAACTCTGAGGGGGCCGATCTGACACATGGAGGATTTATTTCCACACAGATAAAAGGGGGATAAAACATCCCCATGAAGAAGAAGGATGGTCATCGTCAAGGTTCTGGTAGTTTTAACAGCTTCAGATGAAGACAAGTGAACCTGGAGATGTTCCCTTCTTATCGTTCAGTTCTAAAACCAACAGTGGGAGCCCCCGGTGGGTAGTGGGCGTCGTCCCTCAGCAGCTTCTCATTGACCCACCATTCGTCATGTGCCTCATCACATGAGCCAAGATGTGGCTCCGTTGCATTGATGCAGTGGCTCCGTTGCGTTGATGCAGTGGCTCCAGTGCATTGATGCAGTGGCTCCGTTGCGTTGATGCAGTGGCTCCAGTGCATTGATGCAGCGGCTCCGTTGCGTTGATGCAGTGGCTCCAGTGCATTGATGCAGTGGCTCCGTTGCGTTGATGCAGTGACCCCAGTGCATTGATGCAGTGGTCCCAGTGCATTGATGCAGCGGCTCCAGTGCATTGATGCAGCGGCTCCGTTGCGTTGATGCAGTGGTCCCAGTGCATTGATGCAGCGGCTCCAGTGCATTGATGCAGTGGATCCAGTGAATTGATGCAGCGGCTCCGTTGCGTTGATGCAGCGGCTCCAGTGCATTGATGCAGCGGTTCCGTTGCGTTGATGCAGTGGCCCCAGTGCATTGATGCAGTGGTCCCAGTGCATTGATGCAGCGGCTCCAGTGCATT